CATTTCACTTCAAAGTTTCATTGAAGAGCCGTCATTGTCCATAATAGCATTTCACTTCAAAGTTTCATTGAAGAGCCGTCATTGTCCATAATAGCATTTCACTTCAAAGTTTCATTGAAGAGCAGTCATTGTCCATAATAGCATTTCACTTCAAAGTTTCATTGAAGAGCCGTCATTGTCCATAATAGCATTTCACTTCAAAGTTTCATTGAAGAGCAGTCATTGTCCATAATAGCATTTCACTTCAAAGTTTCATTGAAGAGCAGTCATTGTCCATAATAGCATATCACTTCAAAGTTACTAGGTTCTTAAACTTCATAAATCAACTGTTATTTTTAACTTTAAACAAAAAAATTAAAAATTATGAAAAGTGTTAACATTGTCTACTATTGATTTGAGGCGTTCTAAAGCGGGTTGTCATTCTTTTGTTTGGTGGAAATTATCCAAAGTCTGTCCCAGAATGTTTAATTATTCAAAAAGTGCGTGCCCAATGCCTAACGTGAGATGTTCTATAAAGTAAAGCCTGCCACAACCCAATGCCTGACGTGAGAGGTTCTATAAAGTAAAGCCTGCCACAATCAGTAGTTGTTTTAATTAGCTGCTCTGAATGGGCTGTGACGTCATTTTAATTACGCACAAGTACTTAAGCATTATAAAAGATTGAAGTGTATGTAGGATTGCAGTTAAAGTACACCAGTAAAAATGTTCTATGATGTAACATTCGCTAATAGGCTACCCTGAAATCTTCTATAAGGTAACATTTGGTAATAGGGCTACACTGAACTCTTCTATAAGGTAACATTTGGTAATAGGGCTACACTGAAATCTTCTATAGGGTAACATTTGGTAATAGGGCTACACTGAAATCTTCTATAAGGTAACATTTAGAAATAGGGCTACACTGAAATCTTCTATAAGGTATCATTTGGTAATAGGGCTACACTGAAATCTTCTATAAGGTATCATTTGGTAATAGGGCTACACTGAAAACTTCTATAAGGTAACATTTGGTAATAGGGCTACACTGAAATCTTCTATAAGGTAACATTCGGTAATAGGGCTACAAAAAAGAGTGTATAATGTAGCATGCCGTAATACGGCTACAAAAATTCATCTATAATGTAGGATGTGGTAATAGGGCTAAACAAATATTTTAATGACATAATTCCAGGACATTTATCTCAATGATAACATAATTCCAGGAAATTTGGCCCCATAATAACATAAATCAAGGACATTCGGCCCCATGATAAAATAATTCCAGAACATTCGGCCCCATGATAACATAATTCCAGGACATTCGGCCCAATGATAACATAATTCAAGGACATTCGGCACAATGATAACATAATTCAAGGACATTCGGCCCAATGATAACATAATTGAAGGAAATTCGGCCCAATGATAACATAATTCAAGGACATTCGGCCCAATGAAAACATAATTGAAGGACATTCGGCCCAATGATAACATAATTCCAGGACATTCGGCCCAATGATAACATAATTGAAGGACATTCGGCCCAATGATAACATAATTCAAGGACATTCGGCCCAATGATAACATAATTGAGGACATTCGGCCCAATGATAACATAATTCAAGGACATTCGGCCCATTGATAACATAATTGAGGACATTCGGCCCAATGATAACATAATTCAAGGACATTCGGCCCAATGATAACATAGTTCTTGATGAAAGTGCCATTTTAAGTTTTTTTGGACGCTGTTTTCTACGTCATTCTGTTGCTCGGCAAATACATAATTTGATGTTAACTAACGCACGGGAACAATTAAATAATAACGTGTGGATGTTTCGAGTAAAGTCATTAATTTCTTTGAAATAATCTTTGTTACAAGTTTGTGTTGCTTATCTTAGTATCTGTATGATACATTATCAAGATACATACCAATCTCTTATGAGAAAAGTTAAGCTTTGTATAGAAACTGTTTCCTGCTCGAGTAATCGCACTCACAGATCTAAACACAAAGTCAAGTTGTATGTTTGTAATTAGTTTTAAATCTCTTTATTAGCAACCTGGTTCTTTATTACTGACCCAGTTCTTAATTGCCTACCTAGTTCATTATAGCCAACCCATCTCTTCATTACTAACCCAGTTTTTTTGCCAACCAATCTTTTCATTACTAACCCTGTTCTTGGTTGCCAACCCAGTTCTCCATTGACAAACTTTTTCTTCATTGACAACCCATTTCTTTTTTAACCAACAAAGTTCTTGATCGCCATCCAAGTTTTTCATTACCAACCCAGTTTCTGATTGCCATCGGACTGCAGTCGACGTAATTGAATGATCGTCTGCTTGCGGAGCACGGCCAGGCACCGTGATGATAGCAGTCGTCTCGGCATGATTTAAGATGGGCTACTCGAGACTCACTTCCTGTCTGCACTGTATGCGCAGCTTGCACCACGGTGATTTCCAAACCCCAGTCGGTAATTAAAACATGACATTGTCTGGGATGATGGTCTCCAAGTGATTGTCAGATTATTTTTTTTTCCTACGAATGCACGTAAGGACTAGGGCAGAATGGCATAGCAAAGATTGACTGACATTGCTTTTACGTGGAATGTTCCGTTACAGGGGTGACATTTTGTATATTTTTTAAAGATGAGACAATTAAAGAGAGTCAATTATGCCAAGAGCCGAGGTAAATAGACATTCCATGTTATATTGTAGTAACATAGAGAGTAAATTGCCGTTCCAAGAAATATAGTTAATGAAATTTGAAGAGGGTATAGGTCTCAAATTTTTTTTATTTGAGGCTTTGAGGTAAAAGTGCTTGAGAATCTCTTTTTTGGCCTAGTAAAGGAGGCGGTGATAGTTTTGAATAATTTAAATCTATACTTAGGAAGTTTTCAACTTGGGAGATTATTGTAAGGATCTGCACATATAGCTCAGGTTTGTTCATGGATTGGATCATTCCTTTTCAAATATTAAGTGACCTATGACTTTACTTTGACCATCTGTTCCAATTTGTTTCTTTAAAAAATTCGTACATTTAGCAAAGGAATAATTTTGGATGACAATTAATTAATCATCTATTCAATATAACATAACAACAACATTCTGTCTAAATCATTATAACAGAACCAGAAAGTTATGTCCAGATCATTATATTAGAACCAGAATATTCTGTCCAGATCATTATAACAGAACCAGAAAAGTCTGTCCAGATAATCCTAACAGGACCAGAACATCGTGTTCAGATAATTAATTCAATATAATAGAACCAGAACATTTTGTCTAGGACATTATAATAGAACCAGAACATTTTGTCTAGAACAATATAATAGAACTATAAAAACGCTAATTTTGTCAATAACAATTTCACACACACACACACACACACTCACATTATGATGACCTTTGACACACACGCACACCCATATATTTCCAGATCTTAGACATGAAATCACACATAAACAAATAATGTCCATGGACGTCGACACAAACACACATTAGTATGACCTTTGACCTAGAAATTTGAATAAATAAACATAGAACTAGCAAAGTGAGTCGCACTATTGCCGCCCCCCACCACATAGCTGCACGAGAGAGCATCATTTCCTCGGGTCCAGGATGGCGTGCCGCCATCGCTCCCGCCGTTAGCCCCGAGTGTTGTGGACAATTTTAGCAAGGCCATCCATGATGATGGATGAGCCAGAGGTCAGAGCTTGACGTGGATAATTTGGTGGCATTGATCAGGTCAGAGCCGCATTTCTTTTAAGGGTCTGGCCTTTGACCTGCAGCCATCAATTATGATCCGGCGGTCATGGGTAGCTCACTGGACGTCAAACAGAGGTTGAAACCTTAAATGTGATACTAGCACAGCCGTGCTACTTAACCATAAATGTGCTACTAGCAAAGCCGTGCTACTTAAACATAAAATGTGCTACTAGCACAGCCGTGCTACTTAAACATAAAATGTGCTACTAACACGGCCGTGCTACTTATCTATAAAAAGAGAATTATTTATTTGTGTATTTCTAATCACACTGTAAAAATAAAAAAAATTATTACTCATTTATTTGACCATTGGGTCAAAATTAATCCCATCCAAAAACTTATCTGTTGATGATGGCACTTTTCACATCCTATTTTTCTATTAATGATAAAAGCATCGTTCTTTTCATCGGCTGTTTTATGGGTAATCGCTGTCCCAGAGTATGAAACACATTTCAATAGTAGCAACGTCTTACATTTGTCCAATCTTGGATTCTATCCTTTCCAACATCTTACATTTGTCCAATCTTGGATTCTATCCTTCCCCACTATTATTTGAGTTAAATAGTTAATATTTTCAGTTAAAATTGTTTCAGTTTGAATATTTTTTTTTATTTTTCAAGCGATGCGATGAACCATTAATAATGTCAGGGATATGTATAGCGTTAGGACTATTCCATGAATTCCAATTAGAAAAGATAATAATAAGGAAATGGCTTAACGCTTCGATCAGACAAATTATTTTGTTATTATATATATATATATTTCTTTAAAGGTTTTAATTTGTTTGTTCGGGGCAGTTATTGGATTATATTATGATTAGTTTTCTTTTAAAAAGACATTAGTTTCAATCCTCTGCAGTCATTAGTAGTGAGACACTTATTAAGGAAAGGTGTTGTACTTACCACTCCTCGACACAGCTAAAAACAAAATCCGTCAAACTTCAACATTTAAAAAAGCACAACAGAGATAATGCTGAATAGATAATGAAGAGTTTTTTTCCACAGGTTAAAGTTCCGGGCTTGTGATTTTGTTCACAGAAATGTTTAGCTGCTCTTCAAAAAAAGTCATGTTTTACTTGGCCAGCGAGTGCAATGGCTGCTGCTGAATTCAAAGCCAATAACTCTTTGCTGAGAGGCAGCTAACCTCACCAATCGAATGATCAGTCTTTTACTAACAAAATAATATCATACTTAAGATATGCAGTATTTACTTGTTGATTTAATATATGAATAATCACGGTGTTTTCTGTTTTTCAGATTTGACTCGTGACTCGGATACTCACATACACAAAAAAAATGACTGAAAACCAACAAGTGATGACGACAACGTCAGTGCCGATGATGTTGACGTCACCCAACACGAGCGAGGAGCTCCGCGCCATCCTGGAGACGGTCAACTACCAGCGCGCCCTCCACAACATCCCCGCCATGCTGTGGGTGTCCGCCCTCATGGTCATCGGTGTCATCGGTAACTCGCTGGTCGTCTACGTCTACAGGCGCCGGTTCAAGAAGACGTCATCCAACTACTTCATACTGACCATGGCCATCTTCGACCTCATCGCCTGCGTCATCGGGATGCCCACGGAGCTGTACGACCTCAACAACCCGTACACGTTCTACAGTCTCATTGGCTGCAAGATTCTGCGCGGGTGTGAGGTCTTCACCGTCTACGGCTCGGCCATCGTCCTGGTCGAAATAGCCTTTGACCGCTACTTTAAGATATGCCGGCCTCTAATGATGGTCAGCTTGTCTAAAATTCGGATGCTCTGCGGCCTGGCCGTTTTCCTGGCCCTTGCCCTCTCCGCCCCGTCGTTCATTTTATTCGGCATTGACCGGAACTACACCCCCATTCCTGGTGTACTTGGCTACGACTGTTCTATATCTGAGAGTTATAAGACGTCGACGTTTCAGACCGTGTACTACTGTACGCAGGGTGGTCTCTTTGTCTTCACGCTCATTGCCTTGATCGCCCTGTACACGCGCATCTGGCAGGAGATCAAATGTCGGCGCATGCTCGTCATTGGAGACCAAATAGCCAAAGACGACGATACCAACGCGAAGAATCGACTCCGGATCAAATACGTGCCGAGTCTGAGCGAGGACGAGTCCCTGAACAACTCCGTGTGCAACCACGGCAACAACGTCTCCATGACGGAGATCCAGCTGACCCAGAACCATAAAGTCACCATCCCGCAGACGTCCGTCGAACGCCGAACAAAGCTGCAATCCCTCGCCATGTACGCTTCAAGGCTGAAAGTCACTCGGACGACCGTTGTCCTGTTCGCTGTCACCGTGGCGTTTGTCCTCAGCTACCTACCGTCGATCGCCGTCATGCTGGTCCGCAGCACGATCAAGGACTTCGACCGGAACCAGGACGTGGGGACGCAGGTTTTCATGAAAATCTTCTCGAACTGCATTTTCATCAACAATGCCATCAACCCGATCATCTACAGTTTTCTCAACATCCACTTCAGGCGGCAGGTGAAGAAGACTTTTCAGAGAATTTTCTGCTGCATCCGCAGGAAGCGACATCCACCCCAGAAAATGGACTCTGACAGGAGCACAAAAAAGGAATTCATACCAAAAGACTAAACTCACGGCAAAAATTCTCGAATTTTTTTTATAAATTTTTTTTGGGGGTAAGAATTACGTTCAACTAACATCTTGCTTTGAATCAAGTCGGTGTTTTCGTTGTGATAATATAACAAAAAATACGTCATAATATTTTATCTTTCATTCTTATGTTTATTAGTGCAATAATTATGGCTTATGCCAAAGTTGCATTTACAGTATTCCTGTACCCTGTGGCGTTTCATCGGTCGATGTCCTGTGTAACAAACTGGTACTCTGGCAACAAATAGTTCATATATAGTTTAATACAGATAAAAGAATGCTAGAGATACGTTCAGCATTTATTTGCATTTAAAACCGTACAAATTTGGTCAGGAAATTTGTGTCAGAGTGTACGTCATGACTTACGTCATGGCAAAGACTATTCAACTTGCATACATGATTGTTGGGACACGAGTCGGCTGACTCGGAATCTGGTAGATTCAGATTGAATGAAGTAAAATACACGGATTTCAAACGATGAAGACTCCCGGAACATATAAAATAATTGGGATTTTTTAAAAAATCATCTCCGCCATCGCGAACACAGAGCTGCTAAGCCATGGCAAAAAGAGAGCTACGTTTTGAGCAGGCGTTTCAACAAACACACGTTGGCGGAGAAAGAACAACCTGATTGACAAACTACAAACATTGATCAAACAAGATACGACGTAGACATGTTGAGTGTTCTACATTATGAATCTGTCTGTACTGAAATGAACTGAGTTTAAAGCAGGAACGTTCCATTTGCAGTGGTCGGTGTGAAGGATATTTTGTCATCTGGTGGTATTTGCTATAGACGATACTATTGTGATAATAGCTGTACGTGATTCATTGGCTGGAATGATAGGCATGATATTTAAGTGTTTGAATAATTTTCTTTAAGAATAATATTTAAGTCCCATTATGTTTAGGTACATCATTTCGCGATGTTTATATTTTAATATTTTCATTTCTCGTATAAATTGTACCCACTATCAGGTCGTGCTCAAGATACCAGCACCCGTAGGTCCAGTTCAAGGTACCAGCACCCCTAAGAACGATTCCAGGTACCACCAACCGTAGGGCCGGCCCCAGGCACCACCAACGGTAGGGCTGGTTCAAGGTACCACCAACCGTAGGGCCGGTTTAAGGTACCACCAACCGTAGGGCCGGTTCAAGGTACCACCAACTGCATAGCCGGCTCCAGGTACTAGCAACCGTAGGGCTGGTTCAAGGTACCACCAACCGTAGGGCTGGTTCAAGGTACCACCAACCGTAGGGCCGGTTCAACTCTTTCTCTCCGGCATTAATTTCCGCGTTCTGGCGTAATCATCTATTTTGCCTATTTATTTCGCACTACCATGCTATCTCTAAACCATTATAACCTTTTTGTTTTTCATCAGAAATTGTTAAGTTTGATATGGAATTAAAATGGAATACGTGCTCTTTGTAAACAATGCAGACTTGGGTTTAAATTTTAATACATAAATGTGATTATGATTTAATTAAAATTAAAATGTTAAACAAAAAACTTACTGACTGTTCAGAAAACGCTCATTGCAAGTCACAAAAAGAGAAATATATAATCCAAAGTGAAAAAAAAATAAATTTTTTTCCTGAACTGTATCCATAAGTGCATCCCAAATAATAAAGATCACATTAAAAAAAAAAAAAGTTAAACACCAGAGCACATTATCCATTGTCAACGCCACAAAAAATGTCTGAAGAAAACTATTTCAACTGGAAACAATCTGTTGCCATTAGAAAACATTTGCGTTGTATCCTTGTAGGTACTAACATTTATTAGGGTAAATAGAAAATGTACCGTAAATTTGTCATATCTTTTCATTTTGGGTTTAGCCATGGTAAGCCTGAAAACAATCCATATGGATGTGCGGATTTGACTCACATCCAGCAAAAACGTATACCGGTAGAGTTCAACCTGTTCGTTAGTGTTTGCATACTGTCCCTTTTCGAGCTAATAGGCGTATGTTATGCTTAGATAAGTCTTGTTGGAGTGTTGATTTTAATTCTGTAGGAAGCATACTCATTTATTGAGAGTTCAAGCTTGTGAATAATATGTGTGTCTAGCATAGTGAAAAAAATAAATAAATAAAAGGTCAATGTCATTTGACTTAGTAGCACTCAATTTTAGTGCTGAGATCAGCAGCTTTCATTTGACTTACTAGCACTCAATTTTAGTGCTAAGATCAGCAGCTTTCCTTTTAGAATCCAGATTATTTATAGTAGGAACAGTATTAGCTCTTCTAGAAGGCACTTTAGCTGGGGTAGGGGCTGGTTGTTCATCAGCTGATGAATTATCAATTTCATTATTTCGTCACTAGTACTATAAGATTAGTACTAGGATTATTATTACACGATTCATCATAACCAGCCTCTGCATCCAAAATCATAAAATCACTGTCTGAATCATCATCAGAGTAATATTTTCAACCTTTATTAGATCGATCATCAGATGGATCAGGTCACGATTTTTATGTTTCTAAACAAAAATAAAATGGACAACCAAAACAACCGCTTCAAACACTTCGTTCAATCAACAAACAAAAAAAACTAGTTCAAATAAAGAAAAACCGGATGCTTATCAAAAAGAAATCATTCTAAATTTGGTTCAAGGAAACTAAAAACCAATAACTAAGAAAAGAACCGAAATATCTCAACGATCCCATCGCCGATACCTCCGAAACCTCATTTAAAATCGACGATGGGAGCGTTGATCCGGAGAGAAAGAGTCAAGGTACCAGCAACCGCATGGCCGGCCCTGCCCACTCTGATATTGTAAAGTCGTGGAATGAGTTTAAAAATGATCGCGAAGAGAACCACACGAACCTGATATGAATCATTTGCCAAATTAATATTCTAATGGTCCCTAGGCAAAAGTAAAATACAGGACCTTAGGGCGTTACATATAATCCTTCTAGAATATATACATTTTTTTTTATCCTGTGATGTTAGACTTGATCATAAATTGGAATTAGAATGAAATATTGAATAAATCATGCAAGACGTTAACTAGGAGTGGGCGCTACTAATGCATTCTAGATGTGCTATAGAAAAAGGAAAATGTTATTAATGATATATGTACAATAGAAGCATGCACATTTTGTGGATATCTCGGGATGGATCTGGATCATGTTGTCGTTTTGGGATAGCTAAATTCACCTAAAACATTTCAAAGAGCCCGAATGTCACGGACAGCCGGTCGATTTTACAATACGTTTCTTTAAACTCATATCGAATATTTGCATGTATTTGATGTAAATAATGATATTGTAAATAGTTGTACATATCTTCAAATGTCAACAAACAAGTGTACTGTGTTACGACGCATTCACTCATTAAAATTGTCATAAACACACGAGTCAAAAAAAAATGGTTCGCCCTCCTTCACACCCTCCCACACACCCTCCCTCAAAACTCAATTCCCTCACAATTATAATCACCTCCTTCCACACAGCTCTTACAATATTCTGTCGACGTTTCTTTCATTCTATGATACTCCTTTCCATTTTGCGTTCGGAATTTTCTCGGCTCACCATGCACTTCATATACAACAACTGAGAAAATGGCCGACTTTAAATGTAAATATTTCTGTAAATATTCAAATCCAATCAAGGAACATTTAATTCTTCAGTCCTTACCATCCCACAGTCTGTACAATCCCATAGTTCTTACGATCCCACAGTTCTTAGTGTCCACTAGTTCTTACAATCCCATAGTTCTTACACTCCTTTAGTTCTTACGGTCCCATAAGTCTTATCCTCCCATAGCTATACAAACCAAACTGACAATTATATACTGGGAATCCCTTACTTACAATCCCATTTGTATAAACTCATACTTACAATCATATACTTACAATCATATACTTACAATCTAACAGACCAATCACATAATTATTTACCCTTGCCTTGCATTGCTTATGAAATCTGAAAGCATCTCTCGTCCTATTCAGTGCGTACAAATGCATGTAAACTATGATTATGCAATTCAGGTGTTCTCAAATTTTATGTAATAAGTAACAAGACGGCCACAAAGACACTAAACTATTGTTTAAGTCAACAAACGAGGATACACGATGATGTATCAACGGACTCCACGAAATATATCCTTGATCCACATGGACTGTATCCGAGACCGCCAAGTTTTAAAAACTTATGACGAAGATAATGTTCTTTGAGTAAATTTGTTTCATTAAAAATAACAAGGGCATCTTTAGATATCACTCCTGTTTTATTCAAAACATCCTTAGTATTATTCACTATTAAACGCACGATGTGATAGAGGTCAATATAAAAAATAAATCTGAAACAAAACACATCTTATGAACCTGTGTGATAGCATTTCGATTATGAATTATGTAGATGATTAAAATTCCATTCCATCTCCATGGCATTTCTCATGTATCTCCATTTTTTTAAACTAAAGCATATAAGTCATTTTAAACCTCAAAACAAATGACTTAGGTTTGTACAAAATTTATTCATTTTAAACATACACCTAAATGACTTAAGTTTGTATGAAGTATAACATTTATAAAATTTGTATTAAAATCATGGGGGTGGGAGTGTATCAATGTTTAGTGGCTCTCCAGCAAGTGATTTTTAAAATATACCTTTTCATTTGCAATGAGAGACAAATGAACATATCATTATGTAGGCTATCTCCACTTAACCATTTTCAATGGTTAATTTATGCATTTATTATTATCATCATGATATTACATATTCATATAATATCTCATCGTCAAATGTATTTGTTTCCTTATCTCCGCTTTCATTTTCCACTCTCACTTTTTAGGGTTTGTCATGTAATGGCGAAATGTATAAATAGAACATCCGGGCGTACAGTCTGGTCAATCTCATTAAGATATTAATCTAACATAATAATAATAATAATAATAATAATAATAAGAGGTCTTGTATAGCGCGGTACACCAGCCTAGGGC